AAAAATGGTACATGATTTGTCGAAAGAAAATTCGTCGGTCTTTCATCTGAGACTAAGAGTCACTCATTTCTTCAAATATTGGCCGAGATATCGTTCGCCGAAAACAGGCCATTTAAAGGGATCCTCCCACCTTCAAAAAAGTTAATGAATTGGCATGAAAGTGATGTCGCTCGGTTCAGAAAGAGCAAAAACGAATATCTACCAAATTTCACCGAAAAATATTCACCGGTTTTCAAGATAATAGACTTTTAATTTTGATTACTTTTTTGGGATCTCCGCTGTTTCTAGCGACTTCATTTTGGAAGTGCGGCGTTTGCGGCAGATGTTGCGCGCAAAATAGCATATACCACCACTGCTTCACAAAGATGTTAGTATATAAGGTTTTAAAATCGTTAGATCACCGCTGACGTCACAAATTCTAAGGGGGCATCCCAATGCATTAGCCCCTTAGAATCCGAAAACTGCAAGTTTGAGATTCCATATATCCGAATTAAAGCATTTTTCGATGTTGTGAGTGCCCAAACCGGTATTTGCAGGCCATGGCCACCAATTTCGCTATCTCAACTCAAAACTAATATTAAGGTGGGATGGTCACTTTAACATGTAAACCCCATGGGCTGGTAGGAAATGTACGCCGTGGAGCAGCAGTGCTACCAACTAACTTCGGCGGGGGTCGAGCGCCGATGCCGCTGTCGCTCTGCTGCAGCCATAGGTGTAGCAACGTATCTCTTCGGTGAAGGATACCTTTCACCAAAGTTTTAGATTGGTGAAGGATCCTTCACCAATCTTGAGCAATGCATGTGAGGGTCTTCACCAATGCTTAGAACGACTGGGCTCGACGGTTGATCTAATGTTTGAAAAAGGAATAGCAATGCCAAATGGGATGAACAAAAAGGCTAAGACGGCAACAGGCACCCAATTATCCCGTCCTTTCAGTTATAAAGCGTTATGCACATCTTCACAATTCACGCCATTCAATAAATGATAGGTGAAGCTGAAAACTATACTGAAGTTGGTAAACGTGTAAATGTATCTCAGTAAATGCCGTGAATATCAAAATAAATTGGCTTGTTCCTACTTGTGGAAAATTTGTAGGGCTTTGGTCACGAAAAAAGAGCAATGGAGCATAACTTTAGGGTGCTTTAGGCATAAGAGCACCCTTGTGTAGCATCTAGGTCCCTCAATGGTCCAAAAAGCGGCCCCGTTTACATGACCGGTTTACGTCAATCGCAAAGGAGTTCATGTTCGTAAAATATGATTAATGCTGGTCTCTCAAGTATCATACATCAAGGATGAAGCATTTCATTTTCATTGGCTCCGGCCCTCGGGCTCAGGCATATTTACGTCTGGACAACGAGTTGCGGGGAAAAGTGCTGATTTTGTTGCAGTTTTAGGAGCCGGTGATTAGGCTTGATTTGTGGGTTACTTTTTCGTTCCGATTCATGTATTTCATAGTGTTTGGTTTTTGAATATTTTAGTTCTTTCAGATAAATATTACTTGCCTTACAACTTTTGTAAAAACGTTTCATTTTTTTATAAGCCGACCTTCAGAGTCCTAATAATACATCAGCACTACAATCATTGTGAACAAACAAATGGAGCACCACTTGGCTCTGTTCCAAGGCGCTTTTTAAGTTTATCTGGCGGTTTCCGTACTCTTGTACGTCGTTTTGTGGGATGTTTTGAATCCCTTGAGATTGACTTATATCATATTTAAGAAGCATGTGACTGAATACAATCCGAAGTATCCAGGAGGCTGACAGAGGTCCTGACTCCTGAGCAATATCAATATCAAGTTGAACTTGAAGTTATGAAATTTTGGTTGATAAACGCAAGTTAAACGGGCTCATATATCAGCAAGAAAAAGTAAAATTAAAAGAGCTTATTGGCTGGAAACAAGCTATAATATTGCAGATCTTGGAGCAATACCGAAGAGCGCGCTGAGCAGGATCATGCCTGAAAATGTTGACTGATGAGCGCACTGCGCATATTGATGTATTGGTATGAATATTGAATGATAACTTATCATATTTAAGAAGCATGTGGCTGAATACAATCCGAATTATCCAGGAGGCTGACAGAGGTCCTGACTCCTGAGCAATATCAATATCAAGTTGAACTTGAAGTTATGAAATTTTGGTTGATAAACGCAAGTTTAACGGGCTCATATATCAGCAAGAAAAAGTAAAATTAAAAGAGCTTATTGGCTGAAAACAAGCTATAATATTGCAGATCTTGGAGCAATACTGAAGAGCGCGCTGAGCTGACTGATGAGCGCACTGCGCATATTGATGTATTGGTATGAATATTGAATGATAAATTACAACAGCAAGATAAATTAGTGCTATCAAGTTAAAAATCCAGAATGAATGGACTTTGGCAGCTTTACTATGCTTAGATGCTATGCAGATTGTAATGTGCATCAGCTACTCAGTGTCTGGCAAATGAAACATGCGATCATTCCATTGCTACTGGAGGAGAAAGCTTGGATCACTAAATCCCTTTATGTTGATTTTGATGTTAATCATTACTGTATTTCTTGAAAAAAGGATTGTTATAAAATTGTCAATGTGACAATCCATGCAACGATGTGATCATATAATGTGTTCATAGTCATTCGTGATAGTGATTGTTGGTCCAATATACAATGGCAAAGCTCTCAGTCTCAGCGTTTCTTCCTGTGGATGGCCAGCAGTGACTCGGAGCTTAGAAGTATTAGTTTTCTTCACAGGGCTGGGATAAAAAGTACTGAGGGTAATCTTCCACCAAGGAACTCTACTTTGACATGGTAGAAGATGTAGGCACAAGTAGGTAGGTGCTTAGTTCCTATAGTCAGCAGTTGTGTAGGTTTAGTCGGGTTAGCTTAGATTAGGCTATGTTAGTTTTTTTAATTTGCCAAGGGTCCATAAAAATGTGACCTGAGCAATGAGCATACCTGAATAACCTGACAGCTGACCTAACCTCAATCATCACACATATTTGCAGCCTACCCAAGACCTGCATAGCAGTAGCACCCAGTAATAGGTAGGTACTCACCCTAACTCAATTTTACCTGCTAACCTTCAACTTGCCAATAGTTAGCTCACTTTGCCAAGCTGCATCCAGGGAAACAGTCAACTGAGGAACTGGCTCATTGGGTGGCTGGTGTGAGTCTGTGTTTCTTCTCTGAAGCTGCTCTGCACTACTGTATGTCATGTTAGATGCTCAGAAAATGTGGGAAATGATTACTAAGCTACTTAAAAAGTGCTACTACTTAACCCTCGCACGACCAGGCCATTTCTCATAACACGAACGACCAGGGGGGGGGGGTGTTACGACCCCCCCCTGGCGTTTCGAAACGGAAGGCCGTAGAGCTTAGCGGAAAAAACCAACGGATTGCTCTCAACGAGATCTCGCGATTGGTGGTACATTTTTTGGTCCTAGGTCAACATTTGACCTACTTATGACCGGTCAAAGGTCAAATTTTCCGAAAAAATCAAACTTTTTCAACTTTCCGCGGCGATTGCGGCAAAACGGTGGGAGATATCGACTTGAAACCTTCACTATCGTGTTCCTTGATCAATTCTCTATCGTTTGGTATGTATTTCGTTTCCCTAGCTCTAAAAATGGCGCGTTGGGAGCGCCGGAAGTCGGCAAGGTCACAGTCGGCGGCAGAAATTCGAAAAATCAAAATTTAAATTTTTGAAATCTGATTGTATTTTTGGATTTGGGAGGTCCATTTGCTCCCTATAGAAGCTAATATTGCTGCATATTCCCATTGAGGTGACAAGAATTAGCAAAATAGTGGTTCGGGCGCTTTTCAAAAATAGTACCGGACGCTGTTCCTCTTGTGAGGTCATAGCTCCGTGACCTGACCTGACCCGGTCAATTTTCTTGCACCACACGATAGCCAATGCTTGCCCCAACATGCATGGGAAGTTTCATCATGATCCATCAAACAATGTGGGTATCACCGGCAGAAAACCTAGGGATTCGGCGCACACGTTTGGTAACTGTCGGCCGGAGGCTGTACCTCTTATGACGTCATAACTCCGTGACCTGACATGACCCGATCAATTTTTTTTCGGCAAAAGATGCGCAAAGGTTGCCCCAGAGGGTATTGAAAATTTCAGCCCGCTACGACAAGCCGTTTAGCGTGCACTTCGAAAAAACCTCAGGGGGGGGGGGTGATACAACCCCCCCCCCCCCTAGGCGTTCTAGGGTTAATACTGGATTATTTTGTACTAAAACTTAAAGGGCTTTGTTAACGCTCGAGACATGAACAAGTACGATCCTGCAGGGTACAGCTATGAGTTAGGTGCTAGGTGAGCATGTTATGTGAATGTGCTGTTCCCTGTTTGACCATAATAAGTATACAAACAAGCACAGCGTCACAGTTATATTCAATCTCCACATAAACATACAACAAAAACGGCCATATAGCCTCACTCCGAACACACCACAAAGAACTTAAGCCTTTGCAGGCACAAAAATGCTTTGATTTACAGGACAGGTATACAATATAGGTATCCTTCCTCTGTCCTTGGGGATCTTGCTGCGAAGTTGATGTACGATGACTGAACTTCAGGATTGATCAACCTTTTCTTCTTAGCCACTGCTTACATACGAGAAAGACCAAATGCTTGTTTGTAAACTGCCTTGAAAATTTAATGATCCACCTTCAATTCTGACATGAAGGCACAAATAAAATAGTTCCCTCTCCTTTTGGAATACACAAAGCAAAATATTTAATAACTTCTAGTGGATGGACAAGAGCAATTAGCATAGCTTCCCCTCAAGTTAACTTCTGGCACTGATGAATTACACTGACGCTTTTTTTTTTTTTTTTTTTTAGTGGCCCTAACTTACGTTACCGGCCTCGCGAGGAGGGCGGCGACCTAACTATGCCGCGCAAAAGAAACCGGCCGTCCTAACTAAGACCGGTGGCCACTTTACTGCAAGACAACATGGGAAAACCCATATCCATGTACTATGCCATGAATATGGGTGTGACCTCTGAAGCCCTGCATGCTCGGTTGACTCGCCAACACAGCTGTTGTTCCGCTCTCAGTCTGTATTTAGCGGTTTCCTGAGAAAACAAAACACAATAAGCAGGGCACATAACTTCTAAACACATGTGTAGGCGATACAACTCGCCGGCAGTACATATCTAACGGGGGAGGGGGCGACGAATCGTGAGGCCCAACAGAAAACTATGTACGAGTGCTCATTGGCATCACAAACAAGTCGTTCATTGGAGTCACAACAACTCGGACAAAACGAAAACAATACAGCCATCAATGAACAATTGTAACAATTGTAAACAATCGGTCAGTCGCTATCGCCGCCGATCATAGCTGCGGCAGATTTGACGCAGTCCCACACGCAGCAATCCAACTGCCATCTAGCGACTGAGACAGACAACATGTCTAGATGTCGCCACCGAACGCTCAACAACGAGTTTAATGGCATAAAAGGCACCTTAATATAACGAAGATATTACCCACAGGTTTACCCATTATGTGACTATAAAGTACAAATTAACTTCGAACTCACCAACGAGTACCACTTCCTGGCTTGAGAGGTCCTGACCACCTTCGACGTAACGGGGCAGCCACCCGCGCAGAACGGCCTCCCAGTCCGGCTCTTCAGTCCGGCACTGCAACCTGCTCCGGCGCCTCGGAGGCGCTGCAATTCAGCACGACCAACAACAAAGAAGTGCGCCCACCGCAGACCCAGACTCCAGCGCTGCAGCGGGAGCCCGCACCGCCGAGACGCGCCGGCAGCTCTGACCCAACCCCGGCCCAGCTCCGCCCCGGGCCAGACTGCCAGGGGCGAGCTCAGGGGCGAACTTGAAAGCGGCCAGCTGCACCCTCTCGTCCACAGCACCACCCCTTCACGGACCAGACAGGCGAGACCGCCTCTGCCGGGGCCACGAGCCGGCGCCACTCAGCCAATGCGGGCGGTCTCCCAGCAGACGCCAGGGGCGTGTATATAATTCCAGCGAGCGGCGGGGGCAGCTATCGGGACGAAACCAGATTACCATAACCACCACCCGCCGCGGTCACACCCTCCCCTTTGAACCTTTCCAGGTTCAAGAAACGATAGCTGCAGCGATGAACCGATTGTAGCAGCACTTAACTTAACTTATAACTAACTTAACTAGCTTAACATACTTGTTCTCAGTTGCATTTACTCAGATGCTTCAACAAGGAGAATGAGCTTTGATATGGGACGTTTAAACAGCTTGCCTCTCGACATGATCTCTGCGCTTCGGGTGAGTCCATCCCCACTGAGCTTGGGTTGAATGACTCTTCCCAGGGGCTGGCTCATGAACCTGGTGAAGCATGGCATTTATATCGCCCATGAAGGCCACCTCTTCCTGACGAAAACGAACGAGAACGTCAATAAGCGGTGTGCAAAGCGACGGACCCTGATAAACCTTGTCATTCAGCGAGACGCCTCTGAACGAGCTTGAGCAGTCGAAAACCACACGAAGTTTTTCTTTCTTTCCAAACACCCCGTGATGAGGTAGGTAATTCACCAGTCCGTCAGCTCTGTCCAGTTCTTCTTCAGGCACCCTTTCTGCATAGTCCTTCCCTGCCATGTCCTCAATCACTTCACGATACTGGTCAGCGAAGCCTTCGTTTTGAAGCCCTTTTTTGAGTCCCTGTAGCCTCCTCAAGCATGCTTCCCGGTTGTCCGGCAAGACTGTGTCCCCACTCTTCAGAGGTATAGGTAGCTCGTAGCGTCCACTGTCCATCCTAGCTTCCTTCTCAACCTTCTTCATCCATCTGTGGTCCTCCACGGACCATCCCCGTTCTTCCGATGCGGGGTTCGCTTCTGACTGGGGTCCTTGAACCTCAACTTTGATTCGATTCGCTGTAGCCCTGATTTCCGTCCATTTGTGATGACGTACCGGACCGTTCACCACCCAACCAAGTCGCGTCCTGACGGCATACGGACCGTTATCTCTGCTGTGAATGAAGTCGATCGGTTCGAGTGCTTCCGGTACATTCACTCCCACCAATATTCCAATGTCTGCGTCGATCATGTCCGGGACGACTGCTTGAAGATGCGGCCACCTTTGGAGGTCTTCAGCTGAGCAGATCTCCTCTCGGGACGCAGGGATCTTATCCATAGCGAACACTGTCGGCAGCATGATCTGCTCGTTTTCACTCAGGTCTGATATCCTGAGACCCTGCACGGCTGAGGCCCATACAACTAGCGGGTCCTTAGACATGGTGGAGACCGACAACTTAGTCTTGTTCGTGGCATTAACATTCAGCTTGCAGAGGAGGTCATACGTACAGAATGTCGAGCTACTACCCGTGTCCATAAACATGTATGTCTCCACTTGAGGACCATCACGGTATTGAACCTTCACGGGGATCATTGGCATCTTCATAGAACGATCACTGGATGAGATCGCATTGACTGACACGGCCGGTTGAGTTGGTTCCGTCTTCATCTGAGCCTCCTGACGACCGTGCTGCTGATTCTCCGCTCCTACGGCTCTGAACACATGCAGCACCGATGGGTGCCTCCCACTGCACACAGAACAGTTCAGGCGACGCGGACAGAAACGGGAGAAATGGCCAGACTTGAGGCACCCAAAACAGAGACGATTCCCACGCACGAATTCCTGTCTAGCGGCAAGAGGGTGGTTAGAGAAGGCCTGGCATCTATCTAGAGCGTGCTCCTCACTGCAGAAAGGGCAAACCTCCTTCTCCTCTGGGGACGTCCTGCTGCATTTGACACGCTGTACGTCACTTCGTCTTGCTGTCTTCTTGAGTACGTGTCTTCCGAATTCTGAATGTGATGCAACTCTTGCCTCGGTTTCCAGGAACTCGACGAAGTCCGAGAATGCGATCTTCTTCCCTCGCTCGCTGACCTCATCCGCCTCTCTTCTCCATCTGTCCTGAAGGTGGAACGGCAGCTTCTCCACCAGCATACGAAGAGTTTTGTGATGGTCCAATTCACTTCGATCCTTAAGTGCTCTGACTGCATTGAAACAGCTTCGAGCATACAGAGCCATTTCGTCAAGTCCTTCCACATCATCAGCGCTGATAGTCGGCCAGTCCAGCAGCTTCTCAGTGTATGCTGTAGCCACCTTTGAAGGGTCGCCGTACCGCTTTTTTAGCAACCTTCTGGCCTCTACATATCCTTCTTCGGCTTCCATGTGGAAACAGGCTTGGACTATCTGTCTTGGCCGACCAGAGGTAAATTGCTCCAGGAAGTGAAGTTTCTCCTCGCTGTCAAGCGACCTGTTGCCTATTTTCGAATCGAAGGCTCTGATGAAAGAATGGTATTTTGTGATGTCACCGCTAAACTTGGGAATTTCCGATCTTGGAAGCAGATTCCTTCTGCTACTCTCCAACATTGCCTCCGCCATGTTCAACTGACTGCTGTTATCTGCGAGTCTTTCTGTAGCAACAGGAGGAGCATGCAGCTGGGCTTGAATGCTACTCTGTTGATGTTCCTGGGATGCTTCAAAGTCCTTCAACACGTCTTCTCTGGCCTGGGATTCGGCCAGCTCCATCATCAATTCCATCTCTTCCTTCTTGCGTTGCACCCTTAAGACTTCTTCTTCCAACTGATGCTTTTGTTGCAGCATCTTCATTTTAGCTTGTAGGCCGGCCCGTCTGGCAGATTCCAGTGCCCTTGCTGAGGCTGTAGACATCTGTGATTGACCACTTTTTACAGATCCACACATCTGCCCAGACAGAGGTATGCCGTGCTTGATGCTTGATGCACAGGCACCCATTGGTAGGTCCTCTTCTTCATCTGGACGAACTTCTTCCTCGATTTCTTGCTGCAGCTCCTGCTTGTCTTGAAGACTGCCTTTCTCTTCATGTTGCCCCTCCAGTTTGTCCCTTTCTTCACCTTGCATGGCTCGCTCGAGTCTTTCGATGAGAACTGATCTGGTACCAGCCGAGTCTATTCCTCTTTTCCTCAACTCATCCTTCAGCTCCACAACCAGCATCTTCTTCATGATGGCTGATGCTAAGCCGGCTTCAGGATTGAACCAAACTATCCCTACAACAATAAAAACAAAGAGGACTAAAAGAGCATTCTGAATCTTGCAGATCTTCTGGATAGTGCGCCAAGATATCAATACGAACAAGCATATCAGATCCAGATCCAAGTAGCTGCAAACATGGAATAAGCCAGAGGCCCAGGTACCACGTAAATACTGGTCTATAATAATGCGGTCAACTGTCTTCTGGACTGATCCTATCCGAGGTTCTTCAGGAGTAAGGGACTGGTGATCTTCAGGACTGAATCACTTACTTGGGTAATATCCGAGCTCAATCAGCCAACCTAAGGTAATGTTCAAAAATAACTGCCCATGAAGCAGCCAAGAACACTATCAAAGCATGTGTTGGTACATCAACCAATAAAGACGCAGTGGGTTACACACAAGCATGGCGTAATAAACAACTGCCCCACTAAACATCACACATCAATGCAATTCAAATCACTGCTCAGTGCTCTGGACGGCAGAGTTCAACTTCAAACACGGATCTCATTCGAGCAGCTAACTGAGTCTTTAGTCAATCTTAGAATCAAGTCTTTCACTGACACTCTCACCACATGTCCAGGTGCTGCAGACCTCCCAGCATATGATGTAGCCAATGGTGATGGAGGTACTTGCAGTCCAGTCGACCCTCGGTACTGCAGGGGCTGCTCCTCTGACTAACAGGTTCGTTGGAAACTGTGACCTCTGAAGCCCTGCATGCTCGGTTGACTCGCCAACACAGCTGTTGTTCCGCTCTCAGTCTGTATTTAGCGGTTTCCTGAGAAAACAAAACACAATAAGCAGGGCACATAACTTCTAAACACATGTGTAGGCGATACAACTCGCCGGCAGTACATATCTAACGGGGGAGGGGGCGACGAATCGTGAGGCCCAACAGAAAACTATGTACGAGTGCTCATTGGCATCACAAACAAGTCGTTCATTGGAGTCACAACAACTCGGACAAAACGAAAACAATACAGCCATCAATGAACAATTGTAACAATTGTAAACAATCGGTCAGTCGCTATCGCCGCCGATCATAGCTGCGGCAGATTTGACGCAGTCCCACACGCAGCAATCCAACTGCCATCTAGCGACTGAGACAGACAACATGTCTAGATGTCGCCACCGAACGCTCAACAACGAGTTTAATGGCATAAAAGGCACCTTAATATAACGAAGATATTACCCACAGGTTTACCCATTATGTGACTATAAAGTACAAATTAACTTCGAACTCACCAACGAGTACCACTTCCTGGCTTGAGAGGTCCTGACCACCTTCGACGTAACGGGGCAGCCACCCGCGCAGAACGGCCTCCCAGTCCGGCTCTTCAGTCCGGCACTGCAACCTGCTCCGGCGCCTCGGAGGCGCTGCAATTCAGCACGACCAACAACAAAGAAGTGCGCCCACCGCAGACCCAGACTCCAGCGCTGCAGCGGGAGCCCGCACCGCCGAGACGCGCCGGCAGCTCTGACCCAACCCCGGCCCAGCTCCGCCCCGGGCCAGACTGCCAGGGGCGAGCTCAGGGGCGAACTTGAAAGCGGCCAGCTGCACCCTCTCGTCCACAGCACCACCCCTTCACGGACCAGACAGGCGAGACCGCCTCTGCCGGGGCCACGAGCCGGCGCCACTCAGCCAATGCGGGCGGTCTCCCAGCAGACGCCAGGGGCGTGTATATAATTCCAGCGAGCGGCGGGGGCAGCTATCGGGACGAAACCAGATTACCATAACCACCACCCGCCGCGGTCACAATGGGGAAAAACCCATGAATTTACGTTAAGACACATAAATGACAGCGAGACTTACCGTTAAATTGATGTTTGTGAGGGGAGGGAAGGAGGAAGTTTGTGAATGGTAGGGTTACGATGTTACGATGAAAGTTGGATGATAGGAATGGTTTGAAGAGTGGGGGATATGTCGCTGCCGCTGTTGAAGGCCGATTGCTGTACCCGGGCCTGTGGTCGCCCAAACCCGGCCGCAGCCGCTGTTCAGCGGCCGGGTCCGTGACTGAAGAATCCTTGGCCGCTGCTCGTCGTTGTGCAGTGGGTGAAGGGACAGTCCCAGAGTATGTGAACAGTCAGTCCCTTGCGATGATAGCGAGAAGGATGAAAAAACGCTTTTCGCATTCGTTCGGCGACTATATAGTCCTTGTAATGCGGTATGCCTAAGGTCAAGTAATGGTGCATACTTTACAGTTTGTCGGAATAAGGTGAGTTTAAGACAAAATCAAGTACTAGATCAGTTAGTGCTGGATCATCTCCGAGAAGAGTCGGAAGATCGTTTCTGAGGCGATATTTTGTAAGGTGGTTGTTGATATGTTTTCGTTCGTTGCGGAGAGCTGTGCATCTGATTAGAATGTGTTCAACCGTAATGCGTGTGTTGCATGTTTGGCATATTGGTGGGTCCGTCCTTTCGAAAAGATGACAGTGGGTGAAACGAGTATGTCCGCATCGTAGCCTTGCCAGTGTTACCTCGCGAATCCTATTTGGCTGGTTGCATGTTGTCCAGGATGTAAGATTTTGCTTGATCGCATATAAATGAGGAGAGTGGGTTTGATTCCATTTGTTTTGTAGGTAAGTATTAAATTTTGTTCGGAGTTTGTGGCAGACGTCCCCGATCGAGAGAGGCACCCCACTAGGGTCTGCTCTCATTGCCGCTTTTCGCTTCATATTTTGTAACAAACGCGCTAAAACTGCAATATAACAGCACCATATGCTTTTTGACAAAATGCAGAAGTAGAAAATTTTTAGCCCTGTTGGCATTCATTCTTGGTGGAAACGTAATGACAAAATATTTTGTAGTAACTATTAAATTCCGGCCGAAAACAGTGCACGGTTTAAGAAAGAATCATTCCAATGACGGTCCATTCTTGCGGTCCTGAAATCGCCACTATTTCCGGCCTCTCCAACGCAACTCGTTGTCCAGACGTAAATATGCCGGGCTCAGACCACTGGGTGAGTGCAAGGCCGTATAAGAGAGGTAGAATCATCCCGTGATTTCCAATGGACCGGTCGCTAAGCATTAGCGTGACGTCACTGGTGGAGACCGGACGGCGCCCGGCTCCAAGCTTTACGTCGGGTACATTTGGCACTGTATAGTTGTTATTACTGAACGTAACGACAACTAATGACTCTTGATAACTTTTTACTCACCTAAAGCTGATTTCCTTGCCGGTACATTGCCGACCCGAGCCCCAGGGTTGACAATCATGGGATGTGGGTCGGATGGGCGACCTCGCGACGGGAGAAGGAACGATTGCAATTGTTGTGTCCCGCACCGCCGATTGCATTCTCTATCTGCACCGGGGGGGGGGGGGAGCAAGGGGCACGTGCCCCATTGGATCAGGGGGCCTCTCGGGCCCGAGGGGCCTTGCGACGCCAATTGGCGGCTGAGGGTCCACGCTGGCATCTTTCGACTCAGAAGGGCCCCACAGGGCTCGGAAGAACACCTTATGTGCTCCGAAGAGCCACACTTCTCTCCATAAGAGCCCCACACCGGCTTTTTAGTGTCCCTTGTCGGCCTTTGAGGGCCCCTTGCCGGCTTCTCAGGGCCTATTGGCGACCTCTGAGGGCTACTTGCCGGCCTCT